CCTCCCCATTAGAGTATAAATTTCAAGAAGGCAAGAACTGTTATCTGTTTTGCTCATAGAGTCATCCAGGCATCTAGAATCCTGCCTGGCCCAGAGCAGGAATTCAGTCAGTATCTGTTGACTGTACGCTGTGTTTTATCATTCGAAATATGTGTGCATGTGAAAAACATTTCTGATACAATTTAAATTCCCTCTTAGATCTCAGTGTCATTTGTCCCTCGGGTAGCCATCATCCTCAACTTGGCTCTTATCCTTTCCACCCACATTTTAAAACTTCCTTTGCGTCCGTACGTGGCCGTAAATAACGCATAACGCGGTTGTCTGTGTTTTGAGAAATTGCATAAATGTCGTATTTATCACTCAGTATTCTGCGTTTCAGATTTATCTGTCTCGATGCATGTAGATGAAGTTCATTCATTTTCACAGATGCTTCATATTCCAGAAGCAACTGTATCACCGTTTATCACCCATCCCTCCACTGAGCTCCCTCTGGTCCTCCCGCACGCGGTGCTGCGGTGAGCATCTTGAACGCGCCTCTGTCCACGTGCTGGCGGCTCCGCAGGGAACAGGCCCGGGGCAGAGCCCTGCGTGCGCCGCGGGCCCTCCTGGCCCGCACCTCCGCCTGGCCACGGGGCTCTCTGCTGCTGCCCAGCGCTTAGGAAGCACCTGTTTTCCTAACATCTGTGCCCACTTTTCAGAATTAGATTTTTTTGCCCGTTTGATGGAGTTCAAATCGTGTCTTGTGTCAATTTGCATTTGAAGTTGAGTGTCCTTTTCATAGGTTTATTTGGTTTCTTCTCCGGTGAAATGTCTTTTTCTGTTTTTCCACAGTTGTTTCCTTTTTCTTACCGATTCAGGACTTCTTTCTAGAGGTTCTAGACACAAACCCTTTCTTCTCAACGCAGAAGGTTGTTTCACTGTGTAGCTCTCACACAGAAGTTTGAATTTGGGGCGGAGTCAGCATGGCAGTCATTTTCTTTATGATCGGTGCTTTTTTGTCTTAAGGTACCCTTCCCCAGCTCGCCCCAGCTCGGAAAGACATCCTGCGGTATTTTCTTATTAAACTTAAAAAGTTTTGCTTTTCGCATTTAAGTCTTTAATCCATCTAGAATTAATATTTGTTTAGATTGCAAGGGAGAGTTAAAAATTTTTTTCCCACACATGGACATCTGATTTTCCGACAGAGTTTGCTGAATATTCTGTTTTCTGCAATGATTTACAGCAGCATTTCCGTCACAACCCAGGAAATCAATGGGCACACATGGTTCTGGGCTCTGTCTTTTTTTTAAAATTGATTTTAGAAACCGAGGAAGGGAAAGGTATAGAGAGATAGAAACATTGATGAGAGGCAGTCATTGATCAGCTGCCTCCTGCACGGCCCCTGTTGGAGATCAAGCCCGCAAGGCAGGCATGTGCCCTGA